CCGTGTGATGATTTTCTGACTCATTTGGAGTTAAGTTTTCACGTTAGTGAGAAGACTCTATCATAGTGAATTTGAGCTTAAAAAATAAAAATATAATTTTCTTTTTTCTGATAAGCATCCATTTGAAAAATGGACCTAAACAAAATAACAATTTCGCAATTAATGTATACAAATTGAGACTTACAATCATAGTCTCACTCTCACATGGTCACGTAGCATATTAAGAGCATCTCCAATGCTCAACTTTCAACATTAAATAAATTTGAACACATGTCAATCAATGAAATAATGTTTAATCTACATGAATTGAATGTTAAAAGAATAAGACTTTCATTTGAATTGTTACCTCCAATGCATCCATTCAACAACCATACAATTTGTATATGTGGATTTATTTATTTATTAATAAAGTAAAAGTGTATATTAGAAAAAAAAAAAAAAAAAACCACAAATCCCAATAATTATATGCATGATTTTTATTTTTTTTTGTTAGTTCTGTTATTTTTATTTATATCACCAAATTTATACAATTATTATTTATTAGTAATTTTTCATTTACAATATGTACAACCACACAATTAATATTTTTTTAATCCTTTTAGAAGAAAACCACAAAACATAAAAAACTACAAAAAAACTCAACAAACAAATATAATGAACACGATATTTTTATTTTTCATGACATTATTATTGATAAAATTTTTTTAATTTTAGTTGTAACTCATTATCAAATGATTCTATTGTATACATATATATTATCAAAATATTTATTGGATTAATGGAAGGGTGAGATTTTTCCAAGTTTATAAAAAGCTCCAAATTTAAGTAATTTGTGCATATAATTACTCAAATGCTTAGTCATCATGTTAGAAAGAATGTGAGAAATTAGAAAGTGAGCTTGACAATGTTAACATTAATTTTTTACACATAAGCATGAAAGAGCCCATAATTTAATGCATTGGAGGATAAATTATTCACACACTTTCTATCTAGATGATGTGGATAACTTTGTATTCTTTCAAAAGAATGCATTAGAGATGCTCTAAACTAAAGAAAATGATAGTATTTTGATCAGCCACATTGCAAAAATTTGCTCAAATTATTGAACTCAAAATTTAACCAAGTTCCAAGTAAGGAAACAAAAACATAATTAAATCATTTACATTCAGTATCTCAAACATCAGTATGAAATGAAAAAAAAAAAAAAAATGTACTTTGCAACTGCAAACACACACAAAGAGAGACTCATACAATATTAGTCAATTACGGCAAAATTAATAATAACAAAAGAAATAAGAATTAAAAAAAAAAAACAAGTACCAAAAAACCTAGGAGATATAAATAGAGATGGGCATCTGGATGGCGAGAAAAAACTGGCAGCCGGACTGCCGAAACCGAGACGATGTAGCGCCGTGTGCAGTTTGCGGATTGCGGTGCGCCGGTGCGCCGGTGCCTGTTTGCTATTTCTGTTTTGCACTTGAAGTTGGGACACTTAACTAGGACACATCACCCCTATATATAATTCCCGAATGCGCTGAGCCTACGTGGCTGTTTCTGGTGCTTCAGAATCCTACTTGGCAAATAATCATGCTTCGTAGTTAGGTTTGGACAAAAAATATTATATATTAATAATTAATAATCTAGGTTCGGACATTCCATAAATATTATTTAGTTAACTTAGGTGTTTTAATATCAATTGTACTAATATAACCATTTAATTCTTTGTAATTTTAGATAGTGAGTCACTATGTGACCAATATATCTCTGACTTTTGATTTGTTTCCTACAATTAGCTATTGAATTCTAAATCTATTTTAAAAGTTGATAACTTTTGTATTTCTTATCGGTTTTATATATATAATATATTAAATGAATCATCTTTTGATGATCTTCGATTTGACATCCATATTGTATATATAATATTTATCCTTATAATAATAAAAAATAATAATATTTACTAAAGTTCATTAGAAAAATAAAATTATTTCTCAATTGATATATTTATGTTTAATGTAGTTATATGTTGTAAGTTAAAAAATTATTATAATAAAACACAAATAAATCGCACAAATGAAAAGTGTCATACTAAATATAATAATATTATTATTTTTAAAAGATACTTAATTTTCAACTACCTTTTTTTAGTAATTTTAGATTTTAAGAAAAAAAAATTAGCAAGCACCCGTGTAATACACGGATATTGTACTAGTAATTGAAGAAGAAGAAGAGTGGGTCACGTCACGTGCTTTGTTTTCCCTTTTATTTTTTGAAATTGGGTCAATATTTGGCTCTTTATTTGGGTTTAAGTTGGAGTGTGGGAATGTTAACGTGTCTGTTTTTTTTTTCAATGAAGTAGACTGGGCCAACACCCAATATTTAACCTGGGCTGCTTTTAAACCTTGATCTAATCTTTTTTTTTGGTTTAACTTTCGAAACTAGACTGGGCTGGAGCCCACCCCAGCCTTTGGGGTGGCTCCGCCCCTGTTGTCATGTTACCTCCACCGTCACGACTCTGCTTTTGCCACTCCTCGCTGCCGCAGCCCTCTGCAAATTCCCGTCGGTTCCGCTGGCGCCGTAGCGATTTCATCATCCGTCTCAATTCATCTCCATTGACCTTTGCTCGCGGCCAACCTCTACTCAACAGACGGCCCTCCGTCGCCACCGATTAACTCCAGCGACCTTCATTAGCGACCAGTTCGATCTTCTACCAACCCCGAAGAAGAAGTTCCTCGTGCGGTTGAGCGAACCATCTGAGAGGCTATCTCCGATTGCGTGAAATTGGCCTGAGATTTGCGCCTGGAGTAGACAAACGTCAATCCCCAAACTTGCCATGGAGATTTTTTTTTTTTTTTGGAAATTTGTGTCTTTATATTCTCATAAAATTGGAGGCTTCAACATCTGCGCATACAAAACAGACGACCGACGGCTTGGGCCAAGAAATATCTGGCTTTCGTGTCATTGTCATCTCATCCATTGTTACCCGTTTTTGAAGCTCTTAACAACAGAAGGCAATAGTTCGGGCGGCAAGTCATGCTCTCAAGCAAACTAAAAAAGACAAACTCATTTTAAAAAAAAAAATTATTACTACAGTTTGAAGAAGAATTTCGTAAAAACGAAATTTTTTACCGTGATCCTGTCGGCAACGACTTCTCCGGCTATATCTCGCCGGAGATCTCCGCCATCCACCGCCTCGACCTATCCACCAACAACCTCCGCGGCCCCATCCCGCTGTCGCCGCTCCCAATCACACATGCCTCATCACCCTCCACCTCCAGACCAACAGATCGAGAATCTTTGCCGGCAACCAAGCCTTATGCCCGAGCTCCCTCCCCCCATCGCAGACCGCAGTCGCGACCACCAATTCGCCAGAAATTACCGCAAAAAGCTCGACAGCGGCGCAATTGTGTCCATAGCATTGGCGTTGGTGAGTGTGTTCGTGAGGTTCAGGTAAAATTGGGGAACCTGAGTTATAAAACTCTTTCTTCGCGGGTGAGTGTGTTCATGAGGTTCAAGTTAAATTGGGGAAAGTGAGTTATGAATTGATTTTCTGCAACAGTAACGAGTTATTATAAATTTGGTATAACATAACTAAAATAATTGATTTTCTGTATGGTAAAATATAATTAAAAACAAATGCCTGGTGGAATTGAGAGAAACAATTAGTAATGCCACATCACATGCCACATCATATTGTGGCATGGCTTATGGTACCCTAATAGGTACCGTAGAATTTCTGGATTATGCGTGAAATTATGGTATTTTATTATTCCATTTGTTGGTGCTCCGTAATTTGACGTGTCAATTTCTGTTGTTTCGGATTAATTTGTACATATTTAAACATCTATCCATAACTATTAATACTTTTAATAACTTTTGTATCTGTTATCAGTTTTTTGTTTATGATAATTGATCATCTCTTAAGGAGCTATGATTTGATAAACATATTACATATATAAAATTATTTATCTTTATTATATAAATTTTACCTAGTATTATTAATTAGTAATTGATAAAATTATATATGAAATAAAATCATCTATAAAGTCATTACATATAAATTCAAGGCAAAATTGTGTCAAATATCATGATCTTTATCGACATTGCAAATTAATCACGACCTTTTCATTTTTGCACACTATACCACACTCTTCAATATTTTACAAAACGATACACGGTTCTCAGCACCAGCCCTAGAAAAGCTGATGTGGCACTCAAAATGCCACCACACCAACTGAGTTGTATTTACCAGTCGATTTTTTTTCCACCTCAAACTAAGACGACGTCGTTTCGTCTCACGTTTTAATTTATTTTCCACGTCATATGAAAAATGACGTCGTTTCGTTTATATTTTCCGCATAAATAAAGATATCAAGAATTGCAATCAGTCTGCATTTCAGAATCCCTAAAATCCTTTCGTGTTCCTCGATTCTCTCTACGCTCTCAATAAAAAATTTCATCCATTCTTTATTGTCCATCAATTTTCGACAACCTGATTAATTTTTTTCTCATTGTGGTCCCCCAACGACTTTAGGCTGTAAAAATGGCGAAGATGTAGGGTCATAAACTATTTCTTTTCTTCTGTTGTCGCTAAATTAGGTTAGTTGTTTTGGAAAATTAGGGGTTTTTTAAATTATTCTACATTTAGGGTTTAGGGTTATGTTAAGTAGCCCATAATTAGGATTATATATTGGTTTAATTATGTTTATATCCTGTTTTGCATAATACCTAGTTTCGATAAAAGGACATAATATTAGACGCAATTTTGCCTAAATTCAAATATCAACTCTAATGACTGAATAAAAAACTCGTCCATAAATATAATCATTGCTTTATTTTAGGAATGACCGAGTCAGGACAAACAGAAGATTTGAGTAAAGCTTGCATTTCCAGAACTCACTTTACAATTACAACAACAATACTACATTCTTCTTCCCCGGCTATAAAATGATAAAGGTATACAAGAGAGGTCTAGTATGTGCTACAGTTCATTTTAAAATTCATCATTTCTCTTCTCCATTACTGGAATTTAGTCGTTTTAATCTCTGGTCAAGCTCTGCCATGACCGCCGGCTCTTGCTTCTTCCTTTGCTTTGATAAAGTGGTGGTTGTCATAAGCCCTATCTTGTCAAAGGCAACCTGCAAACCGGGTGCTTTTAGCACATGAAATCACAGAGCCGTCTGATGCATGCAAATAAATAATTAAATAGAAAGCAATAAATATACGTGCTTTATTTAGTGTAGGTGAAGCTTCTTTCTCAGAGTAAGGACAAGATAGCTATAGTATGTAATGCAACAACCATTATATGTTGAATAACATTAATAAGAAATTTAAGGTGAAAACAAGTTATAGCATTTACCGTTAATAGTTCATCAGGATCAAAGAGGTGATGTGTAGTTCTTTGTATTACATTAATCACATCACCAACCTGATTTGTTATAAGCAACTCTTCGTCGTTCATCTGAAATCATAACAAAAATATTATTAGACGTTACCAATAGAACTCATCACTCTATTCAGTTATTTAAGGGAAAAAGTCTCATATTATCAGTCGTCCTTTCCAAATTTAGTTACCTTAAAAATTGCTAATGCCACATTGAATAGAACATTTGCACCTTCATAGAAAAGAATGTCCCAAACACGTAGGGTTGTCTGAAAAAGTAGCAACGACAAACTTTTTACTGATTTGGCTGATTCAAGTATTTCGGATCAAGCTAGTCCCATAGATGATGATGATAGTAATATTGAGAAGCGAGAAGAGATATTGTAACCTCTGAAGGCAAACTTTTGGAAAAGAGGCATATAAACCATTCGGTGCAGACAAGTGAAACATCAAACTCCAAAATTTCCAAATGAGCAGCTATCCTGAAGATATATTGTTTCTCATCAATTTGTATGAAACTTAAAGGTCAAATATAAGACATCTACAACTATATAATGAAAGAAAAAGAGAGAAAACCTTGGGCATTATGACATCTACAACTATATAACGGAAGAAAATGAGAGAAAACCTTGGACATTTCTTGGTTAGGAGATCTCTGAACACTCTTTGATCAACATGACATCCGGACAAGTTGCTCGTGTAGCAATCATTAAACAACACATTTTCTAGGAGCACAGCAAGCATCCAGAAAGCTTCTTCTTCAGTTTTCATCACAAGCAGTAACATTGCAGCAACATAATTTAAACCCTGTGCCAGCCAGATTTCATGCCGCAACATAATTTAAAAAATTACATATTTAAGCCAATAATAGTATTGTATTTCTCAATATAAGAAAGAGGATGCACCTGACAGTAACCAACATCAGAATCTCTGAATGAATAACCTACAAGAACGCGTCTCAGAGCGGCATGCCCCTCAGGTGTGTCCAACCATGGGTGACCGGGAAAAGTCCTCGGCAGGTCCTACCATCCAATATTACCCGCGTTAATAACAGATGTAATAAACTTGCCAAACACATTGGCAATTTCATAAATGTAATGCATAGTAAAAGTACATGAGAGAAACAGATAACCAAAGGGGTAGCTAGCAATTTTCAACTGTAGAATTAATATTATCGAATTAAGATTCTGAAGGAGGTTGTTCGAAACCATCACCATAAAAGGTATAATAATAGCAAGATAAAACCATATATCAACATTTCACATATTATGATCACACAACCATACATACATACATACATACATACATGATCGATCTGCTTGGTGGAAGCGGTAACCTTGTCTTGAACAACAGTGATGAGGTCATTGTAATAGCTATCTGGAACAGTTGATTTCTTCTTGGCGGCCCCGGACAGTGCAAACCAAACCTTAGGGCGGAGATTAAGAGGGATGCCCTTGTAGATGAGCCTCTTTAGAGTGACGGCATTGACCAAGGCTGAGAATCTAAGGGAGGATTTGAGGGTGGAGGAGACGTGTGTCTCCAGATACCAATTTACGCCTTTGCTCGCCTCCAAAGCCCACCACACCCGTCCCTGTTGCCTCGCCTTCTCCCGTACCTCATTCAACACGTTCACATCATCCACATTACCTGTCACCATCCATATTTCCATTATAAATTCTACACATAAATGACTAATCACAGTGGTCGATGTATATGTAGGGAAATTCACAAAAATTACACATCGATCCAAATATCAGTTACCGATGGGCGTTGTGGAAGACAATGGTGACGACATTTTTGCAGACACAAAAAAAA